CGCCCAATCTGTGCACAGGGCAGAGGCGGGCTGCCACTGCATGCTGGGCTCTGCACCCTGCTGCTGCTGCCCAGGAGCAGTGCAACACCACGTGCCTGCTGCGCTGCTTGTGCCATGCCCCCTGCCCACCCAGTGGCAACAGGCACATGGCATCACGCCACTCCCAGGGCAGCAGCAGTGGCGTGCAGATCCCAGCCTGCCACAGCAGCCCACCTCCACCATGTGCCACATGGGCTTCTGCCAGGGTGCTCACAGTGGCAGGAGCCCCACTGCACTCCTGAATGAGCTGCCCAGGCTCTGAGCATCTCACAACCTGCCCCAGCCCTGGCGCTGCATTCACTCCAGCCCCTGCCCCACTCCCTCCCACACTGCAGGGGCCTCCATCTGCCCCATGCCCTTTCCCCATGACAGACTTACCTGCTAGGGGCATGCAGGTGCATGCAAGCACATGCTCTCAGCCACCCCAAATAATATTTTCTCCCTCTGCCTACAAGCATGCACCACCCAAAACCAGAGCTTTGCTGGCCAGAGCCACTCTCTGACTGGCGGCCAGGCTTCCTGCTATGGCTACAGCCCCGGGAGGCCCCCCCAAGGCCCCAGGTAAGGCTGCTGGAGCCAGCAAAATTTTCCAAGCTGAAACTTTTCCCTGGGGAAACAAATGTCTATCTCACTTTCACCCTGAGCGGGATCAAAGGACATGATGGTCAAATTACCTGAGTCTTGCCAGTTTACCATTTTCTCTGGCGCTAATCTCAGTGGATTAATCCACTGGAAATCAGGAGTCCTAATACTGCCAGTCTAATCACAGACTAGCTGGTTTCCACGCAGCAGGTTTCTTCTTTAGGAGCATCCCATAGGTGTCATATGATGGTACAGCCACAGCAGTACCTCTCTGGGTAGTCCAGCGTATACACCTTGTTTTCTAATCCATAGATGAAGTAGAGGTACGTCTTCCCTGCATACTGATAGTGAACTTCTGTGATGGGGATCAGTTCAATGGTTTGACGCTGAGAAAAGGGGAAAATAAAACTTAGTGAAGGAGGGCGAATCCTGACATTTGGACACCTCTTGAGAGGGAGAAGGAAAAGCTTGGCTTGCCACAGAAACAGAAAACCTGTATCTGGAGCCACCACAACAGACCCTTACTGCAACAAACCAATGTGTGTTTGAACTGATAATCACTTAGGTACCAAATTACCATTGATTTCAGCACATTATTATTTTTTCCAAAAACATACATTATATTGTAGAAACAGAATATCTTAGTAGGACATCTGTGTGGCATGATTGACTGGTCTCCTTTTATCTCCATGGTCTGTGTGCTAGGACACTCCAGAAAGCATTGCTTCGTGTGCGTGCGTGCGTGCGTGTCCCCATCGTCTGGTTGCATCCCTCTCTCTCTGACCCTAGTGCAATGGTATAGGTACATGGTAAAAAAATCCTGTAGAAGCAGATGGGAAAGTAGTAAATGTAGTTTTCTGATGAAAAAGCTGCTGTGTGCAAAAGTCTTCTCTGGTTGCTACAATCAAGGGAGATAATCGTGTCATGATCTGGTTATGTTTGAGAACTTGCAAATGCAACCTTGGTTTCTATGGAAATTGAATATCAAAAACAACTGGAAAGGGAAAATGCATGTTTTTTTCAGAAATTGGCAGTGGTAGGACAGAGGGGTTCATCAAGGCAGGAAGCTGCAAGTTATGATCTCCCTGCAGGATGATGAGATGGCTAATTAGAGCTTTTCTTTAGTGAATAAGGACCCAAGTGTAGATAAAGTCCCTTATTAACCTTCAAATCAGATTCATTTATAAAGGGAAGCTGTATCCCAATGGCAGGAAGCTGGGCTATAGAGTCAGAGCAAGGCTGCTATGTGGATCTCTCCTTGATTTATATGAAGGATTTATTACTGATAGGGCCTTCAAAGGACTGCTGCATTTGTCTTGTCTTGACTGTTGGATTTTACCTCCACTTCTTGCCTGCAGGGATCTCTTATTCTTTAAAAAGAAGGAAAACAACATTCACTACAAGTCTCTTCCCAAAGCTAACAGCAAAATGACTAGTAAACTGTCCAAGAAGAAACAACATTGGATAGTTTTAAGACAAGGATCAGCAAAGGAGCAGACAAAGATCTACAGGTATCACTAGACCCAAAGAGCTTTTAAAGAAGGCATTCAATGTAGGTGCATCTGTGGTAGCTAAGCTGCTGATTCTTCTCAGCTTTTCTACAGTCACATTTTGCTACTCTTTGCAGAAGAGTGCTAGGAACGCTTTTGCTATGACAATGTGATAATAAAGCAGCCAAACTTGCACTGAATCTTTCTGTAGAACTTCTCATCACAGAAATTCTGGAAAGTTTAAGCCTTATTAATAATTTCTTTAACTTTCACTCCATAGCTAAGGGAGAGAAGGAAGGGAAGAGAAGTGCTGCAAACTCCAGTTGCATGGTAATAATTAGCTAATGCTGCTTTCTGTGAGACGAGTGCGTTCAGCCTTTTGGCCAAGATGAACTGCAGCATCATTTTTTCTATCTGATATATTATATATTTGTTGGAACGCTGTATTTTGCCTCTGTGTTCTTGCAGCAGGAAGAGGCTATAGGACTCCCTCACATGAATCAAACTGAGCCCAGTCTGGAGACTGGTTGTCTCCTTTTCCAATTATGGCTCCCATTGTAATCTCCAAACTAAACACATCTGAAGGATGAGTTCAGGTTTATAGCTGAAAATGACTGCAGACAGTGTGAGAATCTCTCTACTATAATGATAGCATACCATAAAGAAACTGCAGTTTGGTGGCTGAAAAATATACAGTAAGCTTTGCCCTAAGGGGTGGACAAAATAGCAGATCCAGCCCATGGCTGGACTCCATTTCCCAGCAGCCCCTGCCAGCATGGCTGGCGCCAGTTTCTATGGAGACCCCAGCAGCAGCCACACCATGATAGTGTGGGTCCAGGGTTTCCATGGATGCTGGCCCCAGCGGCACTGGCAGAGCATGCGGCAGGGCAGTGAGCTGCTCTGTGGCTGAGCTGGGCTCTTACAGTGGTAACAGCATGATCCAGAACCAGGGCAGAGCCATGATCTTCAGCCTGCAAGCTCTGGGCACAACTGGGGTGTGCAGGCAGCAGATCGTGGCTCTGCCCCAGGTCCAAACTATGCTGTCACCACTGCAAGGAGCCAGGGTACAGCCGCAAACTGCTGCCTGCATGCCCCTGGACCACATTGTCACTGCTACAAGATCCTGGCCCAGCCCCGGAGCAGCTGCCCTGCCAGTGCTGCTGGGGCCAGTCTCCATGGACACTGGCCCCAGCCAGGCATCCCCAGCTGGGGCTGCTGGGAAATAGAGTCCACTGCCAGCTGTATCTGGCCCACAGGATAGATTTTGCCCACCCATACCCTAAGAGATATATAACAAGGGGTGTTCTCCGGGGCCTATCTACCAATGCCCTGCCCACCTGTTCTAGGCCAAACGCCTGCCTTCTCGTCCGCCACACCTTGTTGTTAATAAATTATCTTAATTAGGTGGGAGGCCACTTATTTCTTGCCCCAATGCCAGGGGGCACTATCTGGCTCTGTTCCTCCCCTACACCACAGCCCAAGCCTCACAGATGGCATCCACTGTTGGGCCCCATCACTGGCCCCACTCTGGGCCCCAGAATCCTCCAGTTTGAACCCCACCTGGATCTTTCCGCTCAGGCGGCCTGCTCTGTCTTCATTCGGGGCTGCCTAGCTCCCTGAGCTGTTCCCCCTTATGGGTGTGGTCCCCCTGGGACCTTTGGTTACACTGGCCCTGGCCTCATCTCCAGGCCAGTCAGAACCCCAGGCCCTCAGCGTCCCTCGTGGTGGGCCCCTGGCCCTTCGACCCTTCCGGTCCTGGCCCCAGCATTGACTAGTTGGGGGATTTCAAGACAGGTTCTGAGTCTATAGCTCCATTCTCTCTCTGGAGTCCACCTTCCAGACCCTACAAGAGGGTAACCCACCTGGTTGTGGAAGCTGGGGTTATTGAGGTGCCCCAACTCACCTTTCACTAGGGTGGTAACTGGACTAGTATTTCCTGGGGGCTTCCGTGCCACTGAGATCCCCACCAGGCCATCCCGGCAGGGTGCAGTTTTAGGTCATGTCCAGGACCAGAAGCCTCCAAGCCATCCTCTACAGCTCCTGCCCTTACCTCCAGGATGATACATGAAGCCTTGCAGCCATGCAATGTTGCTGGCTGGTCTGCCAGCAGCAAACTGCCCTGTTTATGTAGGCAGCTAAAGATCTAAAATAGCCACCGCAATCAAGCACCTGCTGGCTGCTTGGCTCAGTTCTCGAAGTGGCAGGCACCAACAGTGCCCTGCCACAAGATACCTTCTCAGATCTTGTGTTCTCCCCTACAACAGCCAGCACGTGTATTAGTCCTTAGCTCGTTGAAATGCTCAGCTGACTTGAGATGTTGGTATCCTGGTATGTGTGGTAACAATGGTTACACATGCACAGATCAAGTTCTTGCTCTGATTTTTACATGCATTTTGCACAAGAATAAGCAATTACATTGGATGCAAGGCAGCAGGAAATCAAGCTAATGCTCTCTGGTTAGCTCTCTACTTAATCAGAGGCATAACAGGGAAGTTATGCATGCTGGACATAAACAAAAAAATGCATGCTGCTATTTTTTAACCCTCCTACCCTAACTGCACTGTCCCCCCATCCCCATTCTCCCCTCCCCTTTTCACCCCTTGGTTGTGGATGAAGGACACTAACTATAAAGATCTGAAATAATTTTGTGGCGTGAAGGCATGACTTTCCCCCTCATGAATGCAGTGAATTTTGCTGAGGTTTTCTTCATTGGGGAATGTGTGCAGTGAAGAGAAAAATGCAATGAAGAGAGTGCTCAGACCTGGGGACAGGAACAGTGTTTAAGGCTTTTTACATCCCTCCCCCCTAGCTTTTGACAAGCAATGTTTTGTTTACACCTTCTTTAACGAACCCAGGTCCCTTGTGTCGAACCCAAATGATCATGCGGCAAAACTCACTTCCACTGTATTTCCCAAAGAACACAAAATTGAGAGATCCTGGTCACCACACTGTTATTCGAGAAATATGCTGCCCGCCCTTCAGTTGCACAGGTTTACGCATAGCTATCTCTCTGATTTTCTGAACAATTCCAGCTGTCTTTTGTCTCTTTCTTTCTAAACCAGACACAAGCCCTAGTTGCAGTCTTTCAGATGCTCTGAAAACTAAAAAAAAAAACTTGTGAAAAAGTGAATGAGAATTTTTTAAATTTTTCCTATCCAGCATTAAATGAAGCTGTTAAATTGGGGGATTAGGGAGAAGTTCTTGTTGTATTACCCCTTTTGTGAAGTCACACTGCATATAGTTAAAGTTCACGTCTGTATAAAACAGAAGGGAAATGAACACATTCTTCTTTTGACATCCTTTCTGGTAGCAACTTGCAGCTTTTCTTCATTAATAAAACTAAATTCAGGGATCTGTCTTATTACAGCAGAAACTGGCAGTGACCTCATATTTAATATTTACTGAACCATCTTTCCCTTAGTGGCAGAATTGTTTTACCCATCTTCAATAAAAGTGAAAAGAAAGAATACCTCTAGTCAGGGTGCTTCAAAGGCCTGGATTAGTCTCCCTTCTCTGCTACAGATTTGTGTGCAAGACCAGGGTAGTCATTTAGCCTCTCATTGATTAAGTTTCCCATTGCTAACAGGAAAATAACAGCACTTCTCTTCTCCACAGGGATGCTATAAGGATAAATTTACTAAAGATTGTGAGGCAGTTAAATACTATGATAATGGACCATATAAATACCTAAGAAGATTAAGAAGGATTATTTTGTGTTTCAGGGGCTTGACTGAGAGACTCAGAGGATTTTAGTTTCATACACCAGCACTCCTAGAAACACCCTTTTTGACCTTAGCAACAAATCTCTTAGGCTCTCAGTTCTTCACCAGTAAATGGAGATACTTTCTCATTCCCATCTGCTCTATCTGGCCAGCAAACACTTCAAGCCAGGACCTATATTTTCCTATAGGTATGTGCAGTTCCTGAATCCCAGCTAAAGATTCTAGATACTACTAACTTTTAAATAATAAAGACACAGGATCCACAGGCCTTGGAATATATGGAAAATGGGTTTGAAAACCATGGATATGGCTGCAGAAACAGGAATTGTACTTCCGAGTTTCATAGTTACCAGCAGACAACTCAATGGAGCTCTTGCAATTAAAATCAAAGTTGAATTTGTGAGTATCAATCCACTCTATCCCACCCCCCCATTTAAAATATCTACTTTAGGATGGTGGGTTCTTGATTTGCTGGCCTGTGGAGAACCCATTAGAACCTGTTCTGTGCAAGAGCTTGAAGTATCATATAGGAACTGGGGTTCAAGGGTTGCAACCCACCCTCCTTTTGAGGTCCTTTGATGAAAGCAGCAGATGTATATACAGAACAGAGGGTTATCTAGAAGGGGGAAAAAAATCTAACAGCATTTTAACAAGTGGATGTCAAAGCCTAAGAACAATCATCCAAACCCAAATATTTCAATAAAGAGACACACACAAAAAAAGGATCACGTTGGGTGCTTCTCCATATTCATATTAATGCAAAGCAATACATTCTATGGCTTATTGCTCTGGGCGCACCATTTGCACGTGCACCCAGGACTGCAGCACATTGAGCTGGGTCAGAGCAGCCTTGGCTGGCAGGGGCCCCAGGGGCTAGCCTCCGAAGCAGGTGCAGTTTCCCCAAGCCCAACATACTGCGGAGAGGCTGGCTGGGGTACAAGAGTGCTTCAGTGCAGAGGCAGCCCCCTCAATGAAGCACCCTTGTGCCCCAGGTGCGCTGCTGTGGAGTAAAAAAAACTCTGCAGCAGGATTGTATTTGTATTTACAAGTACTACCCTGCTGTGGAGTAAAATAGTTTAATCCAGCCGAATAGGGGTGCACATCTAGACACGCAACACTTTCTGTTCAGCTAATTAGTCTACTGTGCAGTAAACATCTTGTGTAGGTGTGCCCACTGATCATTTACATGCCCGAGTTAAATGCCTGCTCCTTGTTCCAAAGCATGCTGGAAACAAGCATTTAAGTCAAAACATTTGTCTAGAGCATTCTTACTTCAGTTGTATTCAGCCTGGCAATAGTGTTTCTAAGCACGCAAAGCTAGTGGATCTTCTGTTATGAAAAGACACTGCCATCTAGTGCTGAAGCTAAGCTGAGATCTAGTTCAGTAAAACCTGCACAGAAAAATGAAAACCTGTCTAGATTATTAAGTAATAAAACTCTCTTCTCATTAAGTAATGATCTTTGGACATCTGTCCCGATTCTAATTTTTTGCTACAACTGCACACACAATCAGAGGTCAAAATAAAACTCAATGAGGCCAGCCAAAGCTGTTAGACTATAGTCACTTTGAGCCAACAGAATATTTATGGACTTGGTATTTACCTCTATCATATGGCCATCTTCAGCTGGAAAGCCATCAACCAAGCAAATGAGCAATAAACAGCATTTCCAAAATATGCTGATAATTAAGCAGAAGCAAGTGGAATGTGCAAAGAATTAAATAGGAAAAGCGCTGGCAGGACGTGCCCTAGACCTAAATAAAAAAAGCCTTGTCTTGGAGAGCTGGCACAGGAATAGTTTTTCAGCACCTGTTTTTACATGTAGCTAAAGGATGCGTTTGGATGGTGCATCTCAGCTGAGTGAACACACTGCTTTTGACAGTGAGAAGTGGAGATTATAGCTTGGAATGAATTTGGAAGACGTGAGTTTTGCCAAAGAGCTAGTTCTGAGAGACCACGCGGAAAAATCAAATTGCTGTCCTTTGGGCTTATTTTGGTCTTCCGCTTTACTACCCACCCCACCCCAGGTGGTATTTTTCTCATTTCTGGTACAAGCCAGCTATATGTAAGCATTTGAAAGAACATGCCTCATGAAAGCAATAGATGTTACCTGGCCCTAGCAAGAATTAACTGAATACAATCATAGGCCACATCCAGGCACGTCTGCAGTGCCACATACTGCATGTTCAGCTGTTCTCCATGCTGCAAGGGAGCAGCGGGGGGGTGGGGTATTCTGTGCTGACCCCTGTATATCCAGGGGTCAAAAACCCCGCACAAAAAACAGAGCAGCACACACAGGGGCAGTATGCACCACTCAAAACTGGACCCTGGCTGGCCAGAGCCAAACATCCATACTCACATAGATGCAGCCAGACTTTGTTGAAAATCAGCTGCTAAACTATTAAATAAAGAGGAGTAACACATCTGTTTGCAGTGATGTTCTTTGGAAGTGGAAAAGGAACAGAAGTAACTGAAATGTCAGTGGCTTCCCTTGTCTGTTTTAAATCTCAGCTTGAAAAATAATTCTTTTAGGATTTAATTCTGATTTTAAAACTGTCCTATTGTACAGCAGCTCAACAATATTTATTGCCCCTAAATAACTAGCTTAACCCCTGACACTTTATTGTGTTTAATCAAGAGCAGGTACTGAATTTATATACCTGTGATGCCTTAGGCCTTCTGAGGAGCTGAGCCTTTGCAGTTAAACAGAAATCCAGTCAACTTTTTACACAGATGAATTGAGTTAGGGATGTCAATAGACAGTGGAGAGCTGCAAGGAGCCTTTCCTCATCCTCTGCTCAAGGGCTAAGGACAACTGTGAAGTCCCTTTGTTCTGGGGAAGTGTAAATATCTCAAAAGTTGCAGCAAGGGAAGTTTAGGTTAGATATTAGGAGAAATGCTCTCACTAGGAGAGTATTTGTGCATCTCATAAATTCGTAGATGTTAGGGTTGGAAGGGACCTCAATAGATCATCGAGTCCGACCTCCTGCATAGGCAGGAAAGTGTGCTGGGTTCAAATGACCCCAACCAGATGCCTATCTAACCTTTTCTTGAAGACCCCCAGGGTAGGAGAGAGCACCAGCTCCCTTGGGAGCCCATTGCAGATTTTGGCCACTCTCACTGTGAAGAAGTTCTTCCTAATGTCCAGTCCAAATCTGCTCTCTGTTAGCTTATGGCCATTATTTCTTGTGACCCCCAGGGGTGCCTTGGTGAGCAGAGCCTCACCAATTCCCTTCTGCGCCCCCATGACGAATTTATAGGCAGCCACAAGGTCACCTCTCAACCTTCCCTTGCAGAGGCTGAAGAGGTCCAGGTGCCCTAGTCTCTCCTCGTAGGGCTTGGCCTGCAAGCCCTTAACCATACAAGTGGCCCTTCTCTGGACCCTCTTCAGGTTATCCACATCTCTCTTAAAGTGTGGTGCCCAAAATGGGATGCAGCACTCCAACTGTGGTCTGACCGGTGCCCAATAGAGGGGAAGTATCACCTCTTTGGTTCTGTTTGTCATGCATCTGCTGAAGCACGGTAAAGTGCTGTTAGCTTTGCTGATGACTTTGTCACACTGACAACTCATGTTCATCTTGGAGTCCACTAGGACTCCAAGATCCCTTTCCGCTTCCGTGCTACCGAGCAGGTCATTTCCTAGGCAGTAGGTGTGCTGGACATTTTTTCTCCCTAGGTAATAAAGTACTGAAACAAGCTACACAGAGAGGTGGTGGAATCTCCATCCTCAGAGGCTTTTAAGACCCAGCTAGACAAAGCCTTGGCTGGGATGATATAATTGGATAGTCCTGGTTTGAGCAGGGAGCTGGACTAGATGACCTCCTGAGGACCTTTCCAACCATAATTTTCTATAATTCTATGAAAATGGCTCTCCTTCTACGTGTGGCTCTCCTTATCCTCTTACTAAATACATACACACTGGCCTCTTAAGATAGCTGACCATGAAGAGTGAGTTATAGACATGGGATGGTATGTGCATTCCCTCTACTTGCAAAGGAATTAGAGTGAGAGGATAATGCCTAAAGGCCAGTATTTTCTAGGTCTCTATAGGTGATTCAGTGGATAAGCCTATTCTCATTTGCCCTCCCCAGAGACATAATGAGCAACTTTTGCAGTCAGGGCAGAGCCTTTTTTCTATTTGATTAAAGAGCCATTAACGATCAGATTTTCTCTCTCAGGTCAGTACTTGTAGAACACGATCAATTCACTGCTTCACTCTCTTCTGGATAAACTAATAGCTGGAACTTGTAACAATATGCATTTTCCAGACCTTGAATCATTCTTGTGTCCTTTTTCTGAACCCTTTCTCATTTTACAATCCTTTTTCTGGGGTGTGAGCACCAGAACTGGACAGAGTATTCCAATCCTGGTTCTCTGCAAGCCATTTTAAACAGGTAACACTCCCTCCTTTCTTAATATTCTCCTTATCTAGATCTCCAAGAATAACACTTCATCCTCTTTGCCGAGAATGTCAGTAGATATTCGTGTAACTAACTATTTACTTGTATACCTATATTCTTTTCAGTGTTTTTCCACCCCAGGATAGTCCTCCATCCTTAAAGTGTAGCCTACAATGTGGGATCATGCCAAGAAACTGATTCACTGACTCCCATTGTCCTTCAGCAGGTACTCCATCAAGCCTCAGCTACTTAATGCTTGCTTTCTACGAGTTACAATTACATATCAACAGATTCATCCTATGGCGTCCTCCTTACCTGCTGCAGAATGCGTGATGATGCTGTGAATGCTGCATTATGTTCTGCAATAGCTCTCTGTGAAGCTAGAGATATCTCAGGCTTGGGGAAGTCAATAATGGGATACACCTGCAATTTAAAAAAGTGGGTTAGAAATCCAAAGTGCTTGCGACAAGCTCCTTTTGTATATGTTGGTAAAACGATGTGCTAGCTACAACATAATGAAAAGGTATTGAATATGTTTAGGTCATAGATTCACAGACGTTAGGGCCGGAAGGGACCTCAACAGATCATCAAGTGCGACCCCCTGACCCTGGCAGGAAAGAGCACTAGGGTCAGATGACCCCAGCCAGGTGCTTGTCCAGTCTCTTCTTGAAGACCCCCAAGGTAGGGGAGCGCACCACCACCCTTGGAAGCCCAGTCCAGATTCTGGCAACCCTTCCTGTGAAAAAGTTCTTCCTGATGTCTAACCTGAATCTGCTCTCCATCAGTTTGTGGCCATTATTTCTAGTTACTCCAAGGGGTGCCTTGGTAAACAGAGTATCCCCTATGCCTTGCTGCCTTCCCCACCCCCCACCTCCCCCCTGATGAATTTGTAGACAGCCACAAGGACCACCTCTCAGCCTTCTCTAGCTGAGATGGAAGAGATTCAGGTCCCTAAATCTTTCCTTGTAGGGCCTTATCTGCAGGCCCCTAACCATATGAGTGGCCATCCTCTGGACCCTCTCAAGGTTATCCACATCCATCTTGAAGTATGGCTCCCAAAACTGGATGCAGTGCTCCAGCTGGGCCTCACCAGTGCCACATAGAGGGGAAGTATCACCTCCCTAGACCTGTTTGCGATGCACCTGCTAATGCATGATGAAGCATGGTTAGCTTTACTGATGAAATCATGCATCTTGATTTATACCAATTTTATCATAACATCACAGGTATTAAAGTGCAAATATGTCAGGAAAAGAGACCATATCCAGACGTCATCCTCCTATTTAGAGGCTGACATACAGACTCACAGCGACTGAAATGAATCAGTGTTCCCCATGTGACAGCCCTAGATTCAACTGTGTTATGTTGGGCAAATTCCACTACTGAGTCCACTTTGATTCAAAAGAACATAACCTTGTAGACTTCAAAGGCTTGTTTGGAAACCCTTTTCTTTTCTACTCAGTGTGGGAAAGTTTATGGAAAATGTGTTGGTTCTTTGGGTGTGAAAGGATGATCACTAATGTGGTCAGTGTGCCAACTGTAAATCTTTAGGAGGGCTTTTCTAGTAAGATTTGATTCTTACTACGAGCCTTGTATTTTTTTTTATATTCCTGGGTCTCCATTGAACAATACACTTCTGGGAGTATGAAACGCCCCCTCTTCTGGCTTCTATATCCCTAAACGAGAGATGCAGCTAAATCCCAGTGGCAGAAGCTCAACTTCCATCTTGACATAAGAGGGTTAGTTAGATGTTAAGCTCTTTGCAATAGGGAAGGCGCTTTGCTGTGCTGTTTATGTTTGTACTGTCCCTAGCACAATGGCTTTGTGGCTGTACTGCAAAGAGCAAGCAATATTAAAGACCACACAGGTAGTGTATAAACAATTAATGGTGTGTGGTGCTGGCTGTTACCTTTAAAAAAGAATCAAGCTCAAAATTTAACATTAACATGGAACTGATTGTGCAGGAAACACAACAAAACATTTCAGGCCGTTTTGAAGCATGTTTTAAAATACAACACAAAAGAGTCCTCCTGTAAACCATGTGGCCAGTGGCACAGGAACTGAACAGGAAATGGCAAACACCTGCCTAGCAGTTTGCTAGGGGGGATCTATCACTGTAGATTCCCCAAGATAACCAACACTAGCAAAAAACTGCAAGTTGCCCAGGGCTCAAATGGTTTTCCATTCAAAGAAAAGGAGTTTGCTTCTTTGCTTATCTAAAGTGCAAACAATCCTTGTTTCCCTTTTGTAGATAAACATATTGCTACTCCACTCTGATCATGAACAGGATGAGAGCATGTCCATACAATTATGTAACCCAGTTCAGAGGTATTCTTATACAGCTCTCATGGTGCCCACATGATGCGCCCAGTGCCAAACACACACCAAAGGTAGCACATTTCTTGTCTTAAAAAACTTTTAAAAATAGAAAAAGAAGAAAGGAAAAGGGTTACCCCAAAAGTGTTGCAAAACAATGGTTGGCCATGTTAGAAAGCCTTTTTTTTTGTATTGTTATATAACGACAATAATATCCTGCTGCTTTCCAGTATGTCCAACAGTAGCCAGATGATCTTGTAGATGAAATGGGCTTTCTGAAAGAACATGAATCCATCTGTGGTTTTATTAGTATTTAGTATTTCTATTGTGATAATGCCTTGGGGCCCTAGTCATGAACTAGGACCTCTTGTTGTGTGCACTGTACAAAGTCAGAGTAAAAAGATGGTTACAGTGACCTTGGTCACTGTACACTTAGACATTTTGTGTGTGAGCAGTCAAACCAAAGGGAGCTGGTTAAATACTTTGAGGAGAGGATAATAATTAGTGGAGAGAAAAAAGATATCTCCCTAGCTTTGATATGGGTTAGTCCAATGAATTCAGCCATCTGTGACCTAATATGCCTGAACATTTACTTTGTCACTGTGTTGGCTAATTGCATTTTTTGTCAGCCAGAAAAGCAGGCCAAATTTTCCCACCGGGAAGGAAACGTACTGCCGCACAAACGTGTACTTCATCACATATAGCCCATGTCCTGCATTGGTTCAATTATTTTGTGTAATACATTTTCAAGCTGGCAGACTCGTGATCAGAAACCAGTGTTGTGTTACTCAAGGTATCTCTATTCCCAGCCTGTGTACGTAACCTGGTTAGCTTCCCTTCTCCCAGGTATTTTAGGAAATGCAGGTAGAACATGTCTTGGCTGGTTTCTTCAAGGTGTGGAAGTTCTTATGTTCCTTTTTCCTATTAGCAAAAACTTGTGAAAACAGCAAGAGCTCTATGTCCCATAAATATGAACCCATGGCATAATAGCTATATTGCTGCCATGTAGCAATGGCCATGTACAGGCATTATGCTTCTACTGCTCCCCCTCCCACAAACTCTTCTCAGAAATTTCCGCCAGTAGAAATGAATGTATGTTTATAGCCAATGGCCATATGCACATACAGCAGCAGTTGGGCTGCTATAGTAAGTTCTACCTGCCCTTCTATCTATTTCATAAGGAAAAGATCTTCAACACATCTTTGGCAAAGAGGGACAAAGTCTGGAAATGAGTGTAAGGTGGGGAAAATCCCAAATTTCTTCCTGCCCTAAGTTTTACACTTACCAGAACATTTTCATCTTTAAATACATTCTCTCCATTGACCTTACTCAGCAGCTCTCCTGGAAAGTCCAGTTGATGCTCCGAAACAAATTCAAACACATTGTTCTTCCTATGGGAGGGGGCGGGGGATAGCATCAAAGGTTATTTTGAGGACACTGAACCTTTTTTTAAACATATGAAGAAGGCTTTAATTTGTCCTGCTTTCAGAGGGCAATATTAATTCTTCATAACCTTTGCGCTCTCTGGCAACACCATCTCTTTTTTAGTTTAACAACCTTGTATGTTTTTATCACACAGATGAATGTTGCATAAATGGTCCTAAAATTAAGGAACTTCATGGTCATCAATAACCCTTACAGCCTTCAAACTAATTTATACACGTATTAACTCTTTACTGCAGGTGAAGTCATGTATCTTCTTTCAGAAGCTGTAATTTCTATAGTAATGAATTACGTTGTTCTGTACTTTGCAGGATACAGGCATAGTTATTAAATTAGAATGACCTCAAAAGGTAGCCATACCATTCTAGGAAAGATACTGTATATATTTAGAGACATACAGTGTGATAACATGCCCTACTATGTCACTAAATTGCCTGAGGGATGACATGTGTGGAGGATTTAGTAATGAGATACAGAGTTTTTCATCTCAGGATCACTGCTCTGATCCAAAAAGGTAGCATGATCCAGATTTGTTTCCATCTGTTGGCTATGTTGTATCTTGTGCCAAATGAATGTGGCACTGCTTCACTCCCTTAGCGGGCTTGGGTGCATATCATAAAACCATAAGCAGCGTCTCTCCTGGTCTACCACTGGGATGGCTGGTGGGTATTTTTGAGTTAAACATGGTTATAAGGATGAACTGGTTTGTTGGGGTTTTTTTGAAAAAAAAGTTTGAAAAACAATGGAATTGGTGCCATCAGTCAGAAGTTGGGGAGCTATTTAGGATGTATGGTTTTTAACTAACCCTCACTTTCTGAGATGCTTTGAGACCCATCTGTTAGTTCTGGCACCAGAGCTCCCAAATTGGAAGAATTAATCCTAGAGCAACAACATAGGGAAACCGGCATTCCCATGTAGTTTAAAACCTGGCAAATGGAGTTTAGTCACTAGACTCAGATGTCAAATCTGGCACTGAAGCAATCAAATTAAAAGTGCTAATGTTATCCATTCTGCTCTGACTCTCAACCTAACATTAGCTCAGGCAAGCTAATTCATTGCAGTCTCTGCACAATCTAGATATTTTAACCACTAGATGGTTTTGATTACAGGCAAGGTAGGATAGTCTTTTGAGTCAAGTACTGGACAGGGATCCCAAGCCCTGCATTCAATTTCTGGCTGCAGTCAAGCTCCCAATAAACTAAATGGGAAAATTCTCACTGACTTCAGTGGTTTTCAGTTTTTTTATTCTCTGTCCAAAAAATAGGAATACATTTGTCCTTTATTTGTCATTATTTGTTCTTCTTCAACAGCAGGGCCCTAATATTGCGTGGGACTCAAGGCACTGCTATCAAGCAAACTATAAATTCAGAAACCTACTAAGTTTTAGCCATTCCACTTACCAGGTTATTATCAGCTGTTTGAAATGCAAGAGCTTTTTCTCTCCTTGGCATGTCATACAGGTTTTATTGCCACGCCCAGAACAAGTGCTGCACCTTTTGAAGGAAGGCATCAAGAATTGAAATGGTTAAATTCCTTTTTATTCAGAACTGCTATTGCCAGTTCATTGATAGCCTTAGGTAAAGTAGTAATCCCAAGCGTTAGTTTTTTCTTTTTTTTACTGACAGACACTTTTTACTGGCACACATTTTTACTGTCAGTAAAAAAATTGTCTCGAGTTGGCAGCCCTGTGCAATTGCAGCAACGGATTTATACCCTGAGGTCCTACTCACTCCACACCCACAACTTTACTCCACACCTTGCTGCTCTACCCAGCAACCCCTAAACTTTACCCCCACTAGTCCCACTTCCCTAATCCCAGCACAGACCACTGAAAAAACCTGTCTGCCACCCAGCAGTATTATAGGATGGGAAGCAGCAGCAGCAGCACATAACTAGAAGGGGAGGGGCCTACAGGGGTCTACAGTCCACTGAGAAAAAGCTTCCCACAGGGTACTGTACTGCCTCTTGGTGGCAACACTCTGCTCTGTCTATGCTTCAGTTGAGCTCTGGCTGCCCAGCTTCTCTCCAGGAGGGAGCGTCACAAAACAGCCAAAGCTTGACTGTTTTTATGGAGGACTTAAATTTATCTATGGTCTTTACAGACAGGCAGTTTTAGCCTGACTTTTTACCAACTGTCCATAAATTTAGACAGCTGGCAACCCTGTGAAGTAAACTGTTGCCTACAAAAACTGACATGTCTCTGAACCAGTTAGTTGCTAAGGTTCCTTTCTTCCCTGCCTTCTGCCTCAAGTGGTTACAGTTAAACACCCAAGGGCCGGCAGCCCTAGCTCTTAACGCATTTTTAGAGCTGCTGTTCTGGTGCGTTTCTTTTCTAGTGCATTTCTGCAAGCCACTAAAGGGGTTAATAAAATTCTGTGTGTTGAGTATGCTGCCTCATTCATTACTCCCTGACTCAAGGGATGCACCATATTTGTTGGATAAACTGTATTACTAATGCCAGAACAAAGACTATTTGTAAATGCAGAATTAGTCAAAGAATGTATTTGTGCATGTAATTAAGGATAATAACAATTTCCCTCTACAAGTATAGCAGGCTGAGTGTCACTTTCAAGACACTGTTATCTCTGCCTCTAACAGATTACAGTTTGATTGCATCAACACAACCAGATTAGTAGCAGTTAACAACTGATTCATTAAAGCTCTTCAAGCCATCATTAGCCCCAGTGGATCTATGCTTTAAAATTATTGCCCTGATAATGCACAATACCATCTCTGTTGTTTTAAACTTAATGGATCCACATAAACAATATAGTTTTAGAACACAAGCTTTTTTGGGTCAATTAAAGATCATTTTTAAGCATGCTAAGTTTTACCTTTGAAAAGAACAAAACAAAACAAACCACAATGGATCAGTAATTCTCCAGGCTGCACTTGCTTTAAGAGCTGAACAAATGGTCTGTAGACAGATGAGACCTGAAGCAAAACCCAAGTTTGGTCAAAAAGTTTGCACCAACTACAAGGGGTTTTGGATCAGATCCAGAAGGTTCCCCCACCTATTATGGATGCTAGCCACCACTCTTTTCCTTCTTTAAAAAAATAGAGGGCTTAAAACTTGTTGATAGGGTCACCTAATCTCATACCTATATTATAAATTGTAAAATATTTGTCATCTGTCTTAAAGCTTCAGGTCTTGGAGTAGTGAGAATCTTTGTTTTCATTGGTAAATTAACTTTCTGTGGTTACAGAGAAAATCCAGATAATGTAATGGCATTTTAATCACAAAAAAGTCCCTCCCCCCTTCAAAAAAAAGGAGTATTATTTTTTATAAATCCCATTCATTTTCACATCCATATAATGAGTTTTGAAAGCCTGGCTGATGCAAACTATCTGGACTCTTGAGGTTTGCAATACAGCGGAAGTATAGTACATCTGATATTTGAGCATTTTTATTATTACTATTCCCTGAATTGTACATGGGTTCCCAGGCAGTTAAAAAAATCAACTCCCAGCTTATCCTGACTCTGCTACATGTTCTTTACCTGTGGTGGGAGAGGGAAAATCAAACTGGATTTGATTTTTCTTTTTAAGTGATCTTCATGTCAGTGAAATAGAATACTGTAAGCCTTGGAGAATAAAGTCCTTTAGGCCTTGTCCTACATCAGCTGTAGCCACACAAGGCAGCTACAGGCTTCAGTAGGAATGTTCATGTAGGTCTGGGCCGTATACATAGGGACTAACTCACGGAAATCATGAAATCAGGCAATCTCCATGAAATCCATAGGGGTAGGAAAAAAAAAGACTTAATAAAAATAAAATGCTGGCTCCCCAGTGGGAGCCAGCAGTCCTCCCAGCTGCACAGCCCAGCATGAATGGGGCTGCTTGTATGAAAGTGAGCAAGCAAGATGGGCTGAGTTTCCTACCTGTCATGTGGCCCTGCCCCTCTCCACCAATCAGCAGTGAGGGTTGAGGTTGCATGACAGGCAGCCTTTCCAGCCAGTCACTGGTGAGAGTCAGGGCCATATGCTAGACAGCCCTACCCATCAATCAGCAGAAGGGGGGCAGGGTCACTGTGGACCCTTGACCAATTGGAGGTGTGGGGGGCTTCAGCCACAATAAGCCCATGAAATTAGCTGGCCACCACCTCAAGTTGGGTAGACCCCAATTTATACCTATATCCAGTGCAAGCTTCCCAACTTTGCGCTACTAATATGTGCTTCAAACATGGCCTAAAAATACACAGAGATGGATCATCAGCCAGTGAAAACTGGCACAGTTCTACTGATTCCAGTGGCAGCATTTCAACTTATTCCACTTGAGCATCTGCAGTTGTGCATACAAAGGAAAATGTCCAGGTTTTGCTGTTCTCCTTCACTGGGTGCAATTATTCTAGCAAAACAATGCCTAGGTAGCAATGGTTGTAAAACACGGATAGGTCCATCAATAGGCAGATAACTTTTGGGAAGGGAGATGAAGGAGAACAGACAGCACTACAGGGGTGATTGCTCCCTTGCTCCCAGCCCCCCCCCCCCCCC